GTTGTCACACTCCCCGGTCAGGCTGCGGCTCCTTGGGGAAAGGGAGGAGCAGCACCACCTGCGCCTGCCTGCATGCACGTGCACCCCCTTTTCGGTATAACGGGCCTCTGCTCTGCCTGGGGTCTCCCAACTGCTCTCACAAAACAAGCAGCAGTCACAAATTTTAAGCAGCCCCCAGCAAAAAGGGCACAGGCAGCAGTTCAGCGCTTCCAGTCCCTGGTTAGTCATGGACCTGCCACATGACGCTGGATGTGCCCCATCACGTCACCTCCCCTGCCCCAGCTTCTACCTTAAGAGACCCACCAGCACTACAGAGGCAGGACCCATGACCCAGCACTGGGTTCCACACATGGAACCCAGTGTTCCCCTAAGCAGTGCTTCATCGAGTGGCAAAGCCAGCGGAGAACAAGGTGTACCGGGGACCGGAGACATCTCGCCCCACCTGGCTCTGCAGGGCCCTGCACGGGGCTGTGGGTGCAGGGCTCGTTTCTCACAGGGACCGCAGTCATCTGATGTGGCCAAGTGCTGAGGATGGCACCGACGTCGAATAAAAAGGCAGATTCTGCCTCAAAAGCTCAAGTTTGTAAACATAGGGCAGGAGGCACCTTTTGTGCCTCAGGCCATTTCCCTGCCCCTAGCCGAGCTGCTGCCCAAACAGTACTTTAACCCAGCCCTGGCTGTGTTTCTTCTTAAATAAACACAGGAAGTTCCCCAACACCCTTCATCTGGGTCCCCACCTGCTCGCCCGCACAGCGTTCGGCTCCCAGCGCCGCGGCGGCACCTGAGAAATGCGTTTCCTTCCCCGCCTCGTCATCTCAGCTGCCCTGGGCATTGCCACCTTCCTGAGCTGGAGGCTGCTTCTCTGGAGCCCGGCCGCCGGCCAAGGAGGTAACACCTGGGCACCGCAGCGGTTCTGCATGGCTGGCAGCATTTCTGTACCATGGGGGAAATGACCTGGAGCTTGTTTTGGAGGTTCTTGGTGGGCAAATGCCTACGGCACAGAAAATATTGTTTGCACAGCCCTGGGGGGCAGGATAACCCACAGAGAAAGCCCTTGCTGTGGAGCCCTGCAGCTTGATGTCCTTAGTAGGAAATAGTGGGGTCACTGATCGCCGGTGTGGTGGGGAAACCAGGTGTCAGACTGCTGGAGGTAACTCCCAAAACCTTTGCTGGGAAGGGTGAAACGCTGTTGGGGAGGCAGGAGGGAGCAGGGGCAGGGAAATGGGTGATTAATGCCTCTCGCCTAAAAAATGCATCCCTCCCCTCCAGTCCCAGTCAATTCAGGGCAAAGTCATCGCTAGATTTTGCAGACGTTGTCAGTCTGGGGCTGGGAGAGTCGAAGAGCAGCCCAGGATAGCTTCAGGCACAGCTGTGTTTCTTCCTGTGTTCCTGGTGTCCTTTTCCTAATTTTAACTGTGCTTCTCTTCCCTGTGTGACAGCCTCCCCAAATCAGTAGGAAATATTTAACTTCCCAAGGACCCGGGGAGAAACCATCAAGCTAACTGTCTCCTCAGGGCTGCCAAATGCCTACACCGAGCAGATGAGGCAGACTGCTGCTGCTAAAAAAACATAAAGTAGCAAGGCAGGCATTCATCCTCTGCGTTCAAACCCACTGTGGCCTCTTCACATCAAAAATAAGAAAATAAAGAGTAAAAAGCAAAGCTGAAACTTGAGAAATTAAACCGACTGTCATAGAGCCGTGTTATTTGCTTTTGCCTTTTATATTTGCTTTGTTGCCTTCTTGCTTCTATTTGCTTTTTGCTTTTTATTTGCTTTTGCCTTTTTATCTACAGGAGAAAAAAATTTACATATGGAAGTGATGCAAGAAGTTAAGTCATTTGGATCCCTAAATGGCCCCGAGCCATTAAGAATAATCTCTTGCTTTCGCATTTATTTGATAGCTGATGTTAACTAACTAACAGATGCAAAAGGGTTTGCAGGGGGTCGTGTATTTGTAGCTACAAACCAATTTACTATTCCTCGGCCTCTCAGAATATTTCTGAGACTCTTTGGTAAACTCACCTCAGTTAAGCTCAGTCGAAAGCGAGGAGTTAAAAGCAAAAATTATGACTTAGTGGAGAACGGGGTCCGTGGCACAAAGTGCCACGGTCAAGATCAGTGCTCAGACATGGCGGTTTGGGGAAAGCGGGGTCTGGGTATCCATGCTCTCACACGTTCCTGGGGACAGAAACCCATTTCCTGGCAAAACCAAGCTCTTTGCCAGGCAGGGCTGGTCTCCCCTCTCCTCCCCATCTTCTTCGTTCACACTATATCCTTTCCACAGTGGAATAACTGGAAAAGAGCCTGCCACAGCATCTTGCGCTGGGGTACCAGCTCGGGGCAGAGGTCCACTATGGACTTTCCTCACCCCCATCTTCAAATGGTGTTTCCCAGGTGACCTGGCCCCCAGGGCTGAGGAGGGCTTCACTTTGACACTGGACACCTTCATTCACGTTCAGCAGCTCAGGAAGAAGAGACTGAGAGCTTTCTGCAGCCGATCAGGCAAAGTCACCACGCTGCCGAGGAGCCGGGAGGAGAGGGCTCGCCTGCTCTCGAGTTTGAGGGTAAGCAGCAAGCTGGACCTCCTCTACTGCCAAGTGCCATCGACAGGGGTGGAGGAATGGCAGCAGTTTTTGGAGAAGCTAGAGAAGGAAAATGTGACGCTCCCAGTGCCACTTCCCTACCCTCGGCGGCACGCTCCAGAGGCACAGCTGAGTGAGTTCAACCTGACGGAGATAGAGGCCATGTTAGGGTCTTACACCAAAGTGCTGTTTGTCAGGGACCCCTTCCAGAGGCTGATCTCCACGTTCATGCAAGGCATGGGCAGCAGCCCTTCCTTCAGCAGCTTTGTTCAGGACATTTTAGACAGCGGACAGCACAGCGCCAGCATGGCTTGGAAACCGCTCGTCAGCCTCTGCCACCCCTGTCTCATCCAGTATGACTACGTGGTGATGTTTGGCTTCCTCAGGCAGGAGCTGGGTCATCTGCTGCAGCGCGCTGGGCTGCCTGTGGACAGCTTCCTCCCCGAGTTCACTGACACCCAAGTGCGGTGGACCTACAGCTGGTTATCAGAGCAGATGTTCAGAGAGCTGTCCCTCCAACAGAAGCAGCAACTGTCTCATTTCTACCGCTGGGACCTTGCTGCTTTCCCGTTTTCTAGCAGTTTCCTGTCAGACCTCCTCAGCACCCCAGAGACCTGGTAGAAACACCCCGGCTGGAGGGACTGTTTCGGAGAGCGCTAATCCAAATGCAAGCGCTTCGAGATACCGGCTGGGTCACAGACAGACCCTTGCTCCACAGCGGCATGCAGCACGCTCGTGCCTGTCACAGCTCCAAAAGGCACGACAGAGAGCCGAGACGGACCACTGCCAGGACAGGGTATCAGGGCTCTTCACACGGCTGAATTGCATTGAAATACAGCAAGAGCAGGCACCGGGGAAACGCGTGGCACTGGGGCCTGGAAAACTGCACGAACTGAACTGCGATGGTGGTGCGTTGTGGTTTGACCCAGCAGGCAGCTGAACACCACACAGCCGTTCGCTCAGTCCCTGCCCCCCAG